GGGAGCCGGCAGGGATGGGGGTGAAGGGCCGGGAGCCCTCCGGCCCCACGGCTTTGGGAGAAGAGCTCTTCCTCCGGGCAGCGTTGATGATGTTCCTGGCGAGCCGCGCTTGCATCTGCCGGCTGGCCCGAGGGTCGGCGTCCTGCCGCAGCGGGGACAGGGACCTCTCGCTCCATGGCGGGGACATGGGGGGTCCCTCATCCAGCTCAGGCACCGAGGCCGGGCTGGCCCAGCCGTCCAGGCTGCCAGGGCGCCGCGCCAACCGGGGTGTCCAGGTGGGCGAGGCGGGGAGGGACGGCCGCCTTTCCTGGAGGGGGACAGAGAGCGGGTTAGTGCCAGCACCGCTCGGCGGGATGAAGGGGACAGTGCAGAGGGACAGGGGCAGGATTGGTGCCCGGGCAAGATTCATGTTGGCTCAGCCCTCTGTGAACTGGGGATGCATCCTCATGCACTGCACCCCTGGCAAGGTCTCCCAAAAAATGCATTTGCCTCTGCACACTCCCACCAGACACGGAGGTCAGGGCAGGCTGAGCCTGTAATTAATCATCCTTGCCCAAAATATGGTCCAGGACTTCTCACCACCTGCAGCTTCCTAAAGCTTCCCTCTGGGTGATGCATGGAGACACCTCCCCTGCACCACTCCGGGGGTCCATCGCCCAGCAGCTGCTCCCCAGCCAGCAGGAAAGAGAAGAGCCAGGTCTGACAGCGCAGAGAGTGTATTCAGAAAGAGGGGGAAAAAAAAAAAAAAAAAAGAAAAACGCAGGAGAAATAAAAGCACAGTCAAAAGGCAACTCATTACTGTGAGGAGAGTGGCAGGAGCGAGGGATGGGCAGGGGCATGACTGGACCACGAGCTGAGCATCACCCAGCAGCCCTGCCCAGCACACCCCTCGCTCCTGGCCGTGCCAAGCTGCGCTGCCCGTCCCCAGCTCCAGCACCGAGCGTGGGGAGGGACAGAAACCCCACGGTGTCCCCAGTCCCAGCACTACAGGGCCCTACTGTTCCCTAGGGATGCAGCTCTTCCTCTGCAGCATGGAAGCAAATGAGGACAGATCCCAAAGGAGCAACAAAAGAGAGAGGAGCAGGCACAGTGAGGTGGGAAGGTGGTGTGTTCCTTCTGGGTTTGCTTTGGTAGGAGGCAGATAGGAGCCGGCAGGACAGAGGGGCTGTGGCTGTGCGGGCAGAACCGGCAGCTGCCGGCTGTGAGAGCTGGAAAGGCAGGAGGCGAGGAAAAGACAGAGCCAGAGATGCGGTGCTCCGTACAGCTTCCAGGTGAGAGAAGAGAGAAAGTGCCGGTGGCTCCGTGGGATGCGCAGGCTCCCAATGGCTGTTTGTGATCCTGTGGGCTTTACGCCCTGACTCCTGCCGCCTCCCCAGGACCCCTTAGCTCCCATTACACCGGGGACTCGGCAGCGCCTGTCTCACCCACCGTCCCAGCACTGCAGCCTCCCAGCTACTTCTTTTTTCTATTTCCTTTTCTTTTTTCCCCCTTTTTCATGGTTGGTTTGGCTTTTGGCACACCCGTGAGCAGATAGAGAGGACTCGGCCAGCAGTGGGAAGCCTAAAACCCCCATGTTTTTCTCTCCGCCACCGCTACTTGTAGTAAAAAGAAGGTTTCCACACCTGCGGCTCTATGCCGGCGTTCCTGGTGGAGTAGGAGGGCCGGGGTGCCTGGAAGCCTCCCTTTGCTCGGGATGGCAGCAGGCGGCACGGGGAGGCCAGCAGCACTTCAGTCGGGGCTCCGGGACCAGCATGGCTGCCCTGAGTCAGGGTCAGATCCTCAGTGGTGCTGTGGAAGGGGCTGGAGGTGGTCTGGCCGGTGCTGGGCACAGTGGGGGGATGCCAAATGGGGGAAGGAGGCAACAGAGAGGTCGGGCAGGAGGTTTGCTGGGAGTAGGGGTAGGCGTCGGGGAGAGAGGGTCTGGGTGGAGGCACCTCCTGGGGCATGGACCTCGCAGGCCCCTTGGATGGGGAGAGGATGAAGAGTGAAGACTGGAGCTGGTAGGGCTGCTGCTTGGAGATCTCCAGCTCCTTCTGAGACACCTCGTTCTCCATCAGGTTGCTGCCATACAGAGATGCTGGGGGGGTTTTGGAAGGCCTGGAGGGACTCTTGGAGGGGTGTCTGGAGATCATGGGTGACAGGCAAATGTTGGCATCATACTTCCAGGAGGGAGGCAGGGACATGGTGGGTGACGGGGACCGCAGTATGTCAGGCTGTGAGGGAGCCTCAATGATGAACTTCTCCATCCTGGATTGCCGGCGGGCAAAGAGCTCAGCCCCCTTTCCTCTTGCTTCACTGAGGTTGTGGCTGGGCTGCGGCTTCGGCTTGGGCTGGATAGTGGGAGACTTGAGGCAGGAGGACCACGCCGGTGCATCATCGGCTGGTGGGAGGTGCTGCCCACCCCTGGGTGCACTGTTGGGGACAAAGTTGGCGGCTTCAGCCCCGAGGGCGAAGGGCTCGTCCTCAGCACTGGGCTCCCCCTGCTCCTTCTGCTTCTTCCTGCTGTCCACGCTCTGGACCAGGTCCAGCAGATCAGGGTTGGGGCCCAGCTTTGGCTTCTCAACAAAGGTGAACATGGACTTTTTGCCGGCTCTCCGGGCAGCCGACTCCTCCAGGATCCCTGTTTTGGGCAAGGGGTTTGGTCCGCTCACACCACAGCTCAGGGGGGGACCTGGCAGCATCTTCTGCTCCCGGGGAGGGTACAGGGCTGAGTAGGCGGGGGGCGAGCGGACGCGGGTAAGTGGCGGTGGGCTGCTCAGGGTCTCCGCATAGGTGGGTGGTGGGGGCAGCTCGGTGGCAGGGGGTCCCTCCGTGGGCTGGCTGCTGGTGGGGGACGCCTGGGTGCCGAAGGGTCTGGCTGTCCGGTTCTTCACAGGCTTGGGCTTGGCCAGGGTGAGATGGACCTCATAGTACTGCCGGCCCTGCGCCCCGTTCTGCTGCTGGCGGGCTGGGGCTGCTGTCCCCGTGGCTGTCCCTGCTGGCGCGCTGGGCACCTCGCTGGGCACCTCGCTGTTCTTCCTCTCCCCGGGGTTCTGTGGCAGGACAAGAGCCACTGTGCTCGTCTCCACTGGGGCTCCTGCTTCCCTGAGCCCCCCGACCCCACTCTCCAACCCGCTGGCCGCCCGCTCCTGCACACCATTGGTGGTGGCCGATGGCATGTTCTCCTTCAGGTAGACACTAAGTGGGACCTGCTGGGCTTCAGCTGGCACCTCCCGGCACAGGGAGGCGTTCGCCCGCAGCCCCTCTCCCAGGATGCTGGGCTGGTCAGGAGCCAGCTTTGTCCCCTGTCCCTTGCCTTCCTCCATGACTGCTTGCCGAGGCTGCGGCACAGGGCTCAGCGGCAGCCCCCCACCATGCCCGGCCTCGGCGAGCCCATCGACGCGCTGCTTGCGGCGGTTGAAGAGCAGAACACCCTTGGAGCTGGGGCTGGGTGCCGTGGTGAGCTGCGCCGCGATCCTCCGGCTCCGCGCCTTCGCCTCCTTCAGCTCCTTCTCGGAGAGGCTGGCGCTGCGGGACAGACCTGGGCAGAGGGGAGAGGGGGTTTAGGGGGGGCTCAGTGGGGATGTGGAATCTCAGCCCTCCCCACCTAGGACCGGCAGCCCTTCCTCCAGGTGTCCCCTGGTACACAGGGGTACACAGTGGGGATATCGCAGTCCAGGGGTGATACCCAGTGCAGCCCCCACCGAGCTGCTGAGCTGCAGCTCCGCACGCTGGGGGGACAGACAGAAAAGCCCAGGGGACACCCAGGGGCATTCAGTACCTTTCCTGTCCCACCCCATATTTTGGCAGGGGTCTGCCCGTCCACTGTGGTGACTGTATGGGAAAGGAATTTCTCCAAGGGCTTTGGCAGGTCTCGGGTTGCAGCTCACATGGTTTTGGCCCCCGGCTCAAAGAGCAGCAGGCAGGGAAGGGGCCAGCTCATGTCCCCCAGCCCCTTACCCCAAGCCCCGGCATGCTCAGCCCTGAACAGGCAGGAAAGCAAACCCAGCGTCAGCGGGGAAATGCCAGCCCGCCATAACCCCCTCATGGCCAGGCCAGTGGCCAGCCCCATCTGGGGACTGATTTATGGAGCAACACGAGATGGCAGCAGCTGACAGAAACTGCAGATCCTGACCCGCTGGACACAGACACAGCCTTCAGCCAGGCACCAACCTCATGTCTCGGGAGCCTATGCAAGTGCTAAAAGCAAAGCGCTAAAAGCCCGGCGAAAGCCCTACAGACATCAGCCGGAGTGTGGCTGGGCTTCTTGTGTGCTGGCCAAAAGATCAGGGCACCAGCCCTTCCCCAAGGCCAAAAGGATGTGGAGCTGCCAGGAATGCATTTTCTCAGGGTGAGCAATTTCCTACGCGCTCACCCTGAAGCGCCCGTGGGAAGGGCAGCATCCCCAATCCCACCGAGGCCACTGCTCGGGGACAGACGCCAGTGTGGAGCATCAGTATCACCCCAGCACTCAGCAAGGGTGCAGCCCCCTCCCCAAAGGCACTGCCGGGATGGCTGTGATGGGGTGTCCCTGCTCCAGCCCCAGCAGGGAGGTGGGTGGCCAGGGCCGCCCACCCCAAGCCCCGGCATGCTCAGCCCTGAACAGGCAGGAAAGCAAACCCAGCGTCAGCGGGGAAATGCCAGCCCGCCATAACCCCCTCATGGCCAGGCCAGTGGCCAGCCCCATCTGGGGACTGATTTATGGAGCAACACGAGATGGCAGCAGCTGACAGAAACTGCAGATCCTGACCCGCTGGACACAGACACAGCCTTCAGCCAGGCACCAACCTCATGTCTCGGGAGCCTATGCAAGTGCTAAAAGCAAAGCGCTAAAAGCCCGGCGAAAGCCCTACAGACATCAGCCGGAGTGTGGCTGGGCTTCTTGTGTGCTGGCCAAAAGATCAGGGCACCAGCCCTTCCCCAAGGCCAAAAGGATGTGGAGCTGCCAGGAATGCATTTTCTCAGGGTGAGCAATTTCCTACGCGCTCACCCTGAAGCGCCCGTGGGAAGGGCAGCATCCCCAATCCCACCGAGGCCACTGCTCGGGGACAGACGCCAGTGTGGAGCATCAGTATCACCCCAGCACTCAGCAAGGGTGCAGCCCCCTCCCCAAAGGCACTGCCGGGATGGCTGTGATGGGGTGTCCCTGCTCCAGCCCCAGCAGGGAGGTGGGTGGCCAGGGCCGCCCACCCCAAGCCCGTTTCTCATTTTCTTGCCTTCTGTGCCGCTTGGGAGCCTTCCAGGATATTTTCAGCAGTGGCTCAGCCTACCAGCGAGGGAAGGGATGAATGACTAAACCAAATCCTTCCAGCAAGCCCACGGTGAAGCAGGAGGGCTGCTGCAAGCTGGTCATCTCCTCTTCCTCATCCTTCATCCCTCCTGCCTCCCTCAGCACCCAGCAAGTCCCTGCACTGGCCCCAGCACTGCCAAGGCACGCAGGATGGCCCTGCCTCCCTGCAGAGAGGAGGAGAAGGGTGGATGAAGCTTTTGGGCTGCCTGACAGGAAGGTTTTGGCTGGGCACGGGGGAGAGGAGGCAGAGATGCCAGTGGAAACTCTCTCCTGGAGACAAGGAGCCCATCCGCAGTGGCAACGCCAGAGGCCAACATCTCCCCTGGTTAGCGCCCGGCATTGTTTAACGCCCCATTTCTATTTGCTTTGGCGGCGGCACAGAGCGGGGCCACGGTTTCCTCCGGCCGGGCTGGCTGGAGGGCGGCCAGCACCGCAGCTCCTACTCCACAGGGTCGCCCTCGTCGCCTTTATCTCTGAAACAGAGAAGAAATACAGCCAAGGAGCCGTTGAGAAACAAGCCACAGGCTCCAGATGTCTGTGAATTTCGTGCTCCAAGCCGAGCATCCTCGCTTCCTCGGAGGCCGAGGCCGCCTAAGAAGCTGAGCTCTCGGCGGAGCCATTTCGCAGCCTCTCGCTCTTGCTACTGCCTTTTAACAGCAACTGAGGGGCCCTGGGGGATCTCCTCCGTGCTGGAGGGATGACTCAGCTCTTGGCCAGCCCATTCCAGCTTGGACTAGCCGCCGGATACACTCCTGCATGGCCAGGACCAGCGCCGGGATTTGTCCCCTGGGGGATTTTTCCCCCAGGTATCCCCATCCCTTGCTGCTGCCCCAGGCACAGGCATCCCTCTGGGCCAGGGGTGTTGCCAGGTGGGAGCCCCCTACCTGAAATCCTCCACTTGGCATCTGCTCCCAGCATCACCCTGCAGACCCCCATCCCCTATGCTCTTCCATGAGCCCCTCTGCCACTGCCCACCTGGTACCCACCATTGCTGGGCTGCTCCACCCAAGCCTGCTGGAAAGGAACCCCTCAGGATACTAATGGAGATGCTGGGGATAATAATTGCTCTTCACATCCAATGTTTATCACATGGATGGAGAGCACTGAAGCCTCTGGCAGGTCAGAGGAAATTGTACAGGGCAACCCCGTAGACCACCCTGCCTGCACAGCCCGGCAGATGGACGAACGGACAGACAGACAAACGGACCCTGCAGCCCTGCAACCCAGCTCTGCAGGCACCGTTGCAAAACTGGCTCATCGACCAGGGGTGACGTGCCATCCCCAGCCAAAGGACAGGGACCACCTCCTCTGCTCCAGCTTGAGCCGTGGGATGAGGTTATTCAACCTGGCACAAGAGTCTTTAGCCCTCTGCCACGGTGGCCGGAGGGACACTGTCACCCAGGGTGGCTCCTGCACCCCTTGCCCCTCTTCTGGCTGCAGGGGACATCCCATCATCCTTCCCCGACATCCTCTGCCAGCTGGGGAGCCTCGGGCAGGCTCTGGCTGGGTACTTCCCCCAGCCCCAGGCAGACAGGAGGGAGCTCAACATGCTGAAATTGTCCAGCTGCTGGGGAGGAGGAGGAGGGGTGTGGGGCTGAAGGCAGCCCGAGCAATGTGGGGAGAGGGCAAAAGAAAAACTATGCATGGCCGAAGGTGCCGGGAGCTCACACTGCACTGGAAAACAGCTTCCGTCCATTAACGGGAGTCCAGTCCAAAATCTGAAGGGTGACGAGCTCTTCTCGCTCTCTTCCACTCTTCCTTCCTTCCTTCCCACGCCACACACCAGCTCACCACCACCCTGCTCTTCAGAAAGGAAACGTCTCCCCTCTCCAAATGTCCTGGCTTCTTGCAAGAACAATGAATCCAGCCCTGCCAGCCCCCTCTGCTGCCATGTCCCCATGCTGGGTGGTCCCCAGCAGCCCCCAGCCCTGTGGTCCAGGGATGCCAGGGAAGGAGATGCTCACTGTGCCCCGCAGGACCACTGGACCCCCTGTGCACGTGAGCAGCTGGCCAACAGCGCCCAAGTGCTGTTTCAGTGCAAAGCACTTCAGCTCTGGCCAGGGGAGCCTATAGATCTCTATCTCTATATTTATATAGGCACTTGCTCCGTAGGTTTCCTGTTGCTTCAGGGGTGACTTCCAGCAACATCCCCCAAGTGCAGGGCTTAACAGCTTCTTACTGAGCTGTCAGTCATCCTTCCCGCAGCACGTACTGTGCTCTCTTCTCCAGAGTGAGGATGACGAGGGTGATGAAAGGCATTTTTGTTGCTCTCCCCTCCTGGCCAGATGGGAAAAAAAAAATTCCTTCCAGCTCAGCTTTCCGTGCAAAGGATGGGTCCCCTCACACAGCACTACTGCAGAGGGTCTGAAGTCTAGCCAGCAAAGGCTGAAGTCACCATCCGACCCCAAATGATGGTGAAGGAAATATCAGACCCTGCTGGTGGCCCACCCTGCCCTGACAGGGACTCCAAGAGCTGGAATGAGACAAGGATTTGGCCCCAAATTGCAGGGAGGGGAGGTACCCCAGGGCTCTCTGAGCTGACAGATTCAGTGGGAGCTGCTGGTCTTGACGTGGCCAGGATGTCACAAGAAGAAAAACAGTGACTTGGAAGCTGCCACCTTGCAGGTGTGGGTGGCTGTTGCATGGTGGTGAGAAGTCCTTGTGCAGAGAAGCCAAGAGGTAGCAGAGTCCTGGTGAGATGCAACAGGCCACGTGAAATCTTGGACTCAGGGCTGGCAGGCGATGCCAAAATCTCTGATTTGGGCTCTAGCCTGCTCCCGGGTTGGACGCTCAGCCATCCCAACATCACAGCCCACCTTGGCTGGCTCGCAGGAGGATGCTCAGGATGTCCCACCAGGCCACCCGCCCACCCCATGGCTGTCCAGGGCCAGGCAGAGCACAGACCTGAAACCCCAAATCCACCTTTGCACAGAGCAGCAGCCACCATCCCTAACGCGCAGGCGCTCTTCCCTCTTTCTGACCATTTCTCGGGCTGAGGCAAGTCAACCCAAACAGTGCCTCTTATTGGCAAAATCCCACCAGCAAAACCCAGCATTAAACCGAGAGGAACCCCATCTGTCCAGATGGACACACAGTGCCGCCGTGCCACCGCCCTGCCACGAACCCAAACGCACATCTACAGCCGGGCGGTGCTGGGGAGGGCAATCCCGTGTTTTCACCCAAACACTGAGGGCTTTGGACACCGAGGAAATGTAAGCAGGTTTTTTGGCAGTGAAGCCAACTGGCCTTTTGCCCCAACTACAGCTGTGCAGGATTTTTTACAATGTGCACTAACTCGCACACATTTAAATCTGCGCTTCCCTCCAGCTCCCAGAGTTATCCCAAATAATCTGCTGCTAGGAAAACAAGGCGGGTAGCACAGACAGGCAGTCAAGCTAGCTAGAAACAGATACGATTCAAACATATGGACAAAAATATGACAAATTTCTGCCTCATTCCCAGCTTCCAATCCTCTTATACCCCAGATATAAAACCTCCATGAAGTTTTTATCCGTGCTGACCCTTCAGACCCAAAAAGCCCTGGCTCAAGTGGTGGGTGCCATAGTGGGAGCAAGCTCTCCTGCCTGGCAGGGCACACTACGCTGGGCCTCTCCTCACAGGCTCCTTTGCCAGTGACAAAATCTGGCACAGCGAGAAAATTCGATGCGCTTGCAAGTTTTCCCTGTGCTCTGTTCGCAAAGGCTTTGATGGATTTGGAGCTGTTTGCCTCCCCACGGTCCTCCCAGCTCACAGCCATGCCCCTGCCTTGCCCAGCACCCAAATCCTACTGAAAATCACCCCACAGTCTCCCAGCATCAAGCCCTGGGGTACCCATCTGATACCCAAGGGGAGGAGGAGAAGGTGCTGGGGGGTATTTGCTCTTTGATAGGGGCTGGCTGCCCCCACCCCAGACTCGCTTTCCCAGGGCATGCCAAGCTGAGGGGGTGCAGTGAGCAGCTCCAGCCCCGCATGCATCCACACTGGAGAAGAAGAGGCTGCTGCTACCACAAAAGTGGAGGCAGCACCTTCCCCCAGCCAGCCAAAATTAAGCTTTTAGCTTTGCAAAAAGAGGCTAGAGCCAGGCAGACCTCCTCCAGGCTGCCCTGTCATCCATCCACCCGCAGCACAGGAGAGCCAGCCCATCCCATGGCTGGGTACCACGGGGACCCCCATCCCTCCTGGCAAGTGCGTCCCAGCCCCCTGCACCCACCAGTGCTCGGGCTCGCCACGACACATCCCGAGCTGCCAGGGCCCCGGTGACACCGGGCTGGTGCCACAAGTCGGAGGCGGTGGCGACCAAAGGTCATTTGGCTCAGCTTGTCCCCGTCGGATGGAGGGAGCGGGGAGGGGAGCGGCACGAAACGAGGCCTTTGCCTGCCCCTTGCACAACCCGTAAGGGATCCATCCTGCTGGCTGCCAAGCCGGAGGGACAGACCTCATGTCTCCAGCGCGGGGTGGCACGGCCAGGGGAGATCACGTCCCCGCCGCAGGGGACAGGGGACACGGCTTGGGAAGACGATCTGCAGAGCTGCAAGGTGTGACCCTGAGGAGCGCTGGGGGGGACCCCCACGTCCCTCCACGTCCCCCACTGTGCCTCCCACGCCCCGTGCCAGACCCCCGCGTGTGGGCAGAGGGAACCGACACCCGCACGGATGATTTCTAGAGAGAGCGACACCCCTCAGCCC